AATGCCCCATCAGCCATGCCTGGGGGGGGACTCCCGGCCCAACCTGGTTCTACGGCCTTCATGGCTGCCAGGCGTGGCGCAGCAAGAGCCAAAGAGAATGGCCCACCCCAGCACCTCACTCTGTCTGCACCAACCATCCTGGGTCACATGAAGCTGCGAGGGGGCAGTGGGGGAGGAGCTCGCTGCTGGCGCAGGCACAGTGAGATGCCAGGGTGGGCCATTCTCCTTGGCTATTGCCGTGGCGTCTACCAGCAGCCATATCTGGCTCAGGAGGACTCCTAGCCTGGCTCGGGCAGGTCCCGGCTCCCCCAAGCGAGGATCAAGGTGAGGGTGGACTTGGGGTGGAGCAGATTCGTGGTGGGGCATCTGCCCTTGGAAGCCCCACCATGGCTACAGGTCTGTACAGCGTTCACTCTGTAGTCCAGCATCCTGTTTCATGCAGTGGGTAGAGAGTCATATGGCAGGAAACTAAGGTTGCATGACAGGGAACCAGAACACAGTTAAATTAAAAAAATAAAATGAAAGGACACCGACAAAATAGTCCGGGAGTGGTGTCATATCCTAATGAAGGCAATATCAAGAATTGGGACTGTATTGTCAAACCATTTTCTCAGTATAAATTGTCTCTGAAGCGTCTCTGTGCCCAAGGATTGCTTGTTGGAGACAGATCTCCAAACTTCCCACCTAGTTGGAGGGCCAGGAGTCCAGTGCTATATATTGCTGTCAGGAAATTTCTTTTAACATGGAGAGGACTATATAGGGGGCATTCAGCTACATTGTTATTACCTGCACCTCCATTTCCTGGATTTTATTCAAACGGTGCAGCAGGTTCTGTTTCTCTCTGGACAGCAGCATAAGGAGTTTCTCTTTGTCATTCAGTTGCCAGGTCAGCTCCTCAATCCTCCTGCATAGAAGAAATGGCCTAGTTATCTCTGCTAGAGCTGGGAAATAGTTCTTCACCTCATATTGAATACATGGCATAGTGGACAGGTGGCATGACTGCTTTCCATGCAAGCAGTTGGGCCTGGCAACTATTCTTTCAAACACTGATACAATGAAGCAATGACAACTTGCCATCTACAGGGATACCCCCCCCCTCAAACTAGCAACCCAGAAAATAAACAGGGAGAAATTACATTACAGTAGCAAGGCTCAAGTGACACACATCCAGAAAGACAGATACAAAATTTGGGCAAGCTCAGCTCTGGAGGTTCTAAAATGGATTACCCTTCCCTGAACTTCTTGCACTAAGGTGATAGGGGCAAATTAAATCATTGTAACAACCCCCCCCACAAGGACGCACTTGTCTTTCTCAGCCAAGGTGACATTGTAGGCATTCATAAGAACATAAGAACATAAGAGACGCCAATGTTGGATCAGGCCAAAGGCCCATCCAGTCCAACACTCTGTGTCACACAGTGGCCAGAAATACCAGTGCCATCAGGAGGTCCAGCAGTGGGGCCAGGACATTAGAAGCCCTCCCACTGTTCTTTCCCTGGTCTCATCCTGCTTCTTGGAGTACTCAGTCAGCTGCTTGCTGAGTTCCAAACACCGCTCCTTCTCAGCTTCAGCCAAAGCTGACATCCGCTCAACTTCTGTTCTTGCTGACTGGGCCTCCTACAGATGGAACGAGAGATGATCATTAGCTCCAGAGGAGTTACAAAGTTGGATATGATACTGGTTTTGTTTTGCAGGAGACTCTAGGAAAGCACGTGACACGTATCTAGGTGAGTTCTGCCATGTTCAAAGTGACCAAACTGAGTTTTTCCAGCCAGAATCTGGGTGGTGTAAATTTAGAACTGATGTTTATCTGGGGTCCTATTCTAGTTTCCCTAGTGTCACCAACAGGCTACTGAAGAAGACTTCTCGATGTTCATTCCTACGTAATGGCCACGAATGCTGTCATATGGTAGCCCATAGAAGGGGTGGTTGGATAAGAAAGGAACTCACATAGCCCGTAACAAGTTTGCACTGAGTTTCAAGGCTACAGAATACTCACCACCACTCGGACGCTAATACTGAGCATCACTCAACCAAATCAGCTAGCTCTTGACACACCTGACACAGCAACTTCCAGACCAATGGCATTTATTCTAGGATGAGCTTTCATGAGTCAGAGCTTCAGATATGGAAAGGTGATCTTTGACTCGTGGAAGTTCATGCTGGGATAACTATTGTCAGTCTTGAAGGTGCCAGCACAATACACAATACACCCTCTGGGATATCAACAGCAATCCCAAGGATGGTACCCAAGGCCAATCCCTCCTCATGATCTATTTTGCATTGCTGAAGGAGTCCTCTTCTGCAGTGAGCTGTGAGTAGAATTAAAACAAGGATGGAAATTGCTTCTTCTTGGAAAAACCTAATGGTACCAACAATTTCTGCTCGGTATAATAGGGTATGGGAAATTTATATAATGGATAAAATTTTAGATAAATTGTATACTAATAGCGTCTCTCCAGAAAACTCTCATTTTGTGGAACTGTGGTTTCCTGTAATTGCTTATATTGCTAAAAACGAAGGTATCATTCAGTGTTCCTATTCCAAAGAGGTGTTTTGTCTGTTCTGGTTGTTCAGGTTTATTTTCAGAAGTGCTCACACAGTCAAGTGTTTGGAGACTGTTTTACTATGTATTAATGTGTCGCTATCTTTGGTATTGCATTGTTGAATTGTAACCATACTGTTGATATTCAAATAAAATTATTACGAAACTGAAAAAAAAATGACTTTCCATAGCACTTAATACGGCACTACATTCCCCTTAAAAATTTGGCTGTTCCCATTCCCTATTACAGTAAAACCCTTTCCAGAAAATTCCCGTTTCACCCCCTTCCTAATCATCCTTCCAAACTTATTTCCCTACCATTTCTGCTGTTCAGAATTAGGTGCCCTAACATTGCTGAATGTATAACAACTGAACGAGGAGAGACTTTAATTACTTCATTTCCCCCTTTTCAGAAATTGTGATTGTTAGTTAATTTTCTAATGATCCTATTCACAGAATTACAATATTACATTAACACATAGTGACCAGGGGGGGAAATTAAGGAGCACTGTGTGCAGCCGAATTCGGTAAGGAAAGCCTTCCCCTCCAGGCCAAGGGACTGACTAGGAACACATTCAAGTTTTCTGGGGCACCAGTGAGTGAAGAGAGAGATGGAGGAGAGGGGGGGGGGGGGGGGGGGGATAAAGCTTTTTTAAACTAACAGAGGCAGGGAGCACTGAAAGGGGAGGATTTAAATCGTTGCCTCAGTGGTCTTAAAGGTATAATTTTACCTGGTGCTTCATTAGTTCCTATTCTCTTGTGCCCCAGGATACCTGTCCATGTTCTGAATCAGTTCCTTGGGGGGACAAGGAAGATGAGGAGGTTTGATTATTACTGCATTTCTCACAGCGGCACTGTGAGCTCCTTAAATTTTATTTTTTCATGAATGCAACATCATAATTATGCAATTATCATTAAAAATGAACACTCATTTGCTACAAAGGGGAGAAAAGGAGTATTTAATAAGGCCTTCCTCTTTCTATGTGTAAACAATGTGTTCAGGAATTCCTGAGCTTCAAAAATAAAACAAGAAAGAGTATTTAAAGGGACAGGAGATGCCTCAAAGGGACTTTGACTGTCCACAAACGGACAGTCAGCATTGCAATTGCATTTCATGTGGGGGTTTTTTTTACATCACTACAAATGGGGTTTGAAAAAGGAAGGAGAAATAATGCAGAAAATACATGTGCTAACTGCAGTGTCGTCTAGATCCTCCATAAAAGCAGCATCAACGAATCATGGTAATTCCAGATCAAACAGCTTCACAGAACCACCAGCCAAAGAATTAAATTAAAGAATTAAGATTAAATGGCTTTGTGGAACCACCAGCCCAACACAAGAAGAGCCCTGCTGGATCAGACCCACGGTCCATCTAGGCCAGCATCCTATCTCACACAGTGGCCAATCAGTTCCTCTGGAAGCTCCAACAACGGCATAGAGACCTAGGCCTTTCCCCGATGTTGCCTCCTGATACTGGTAGTTTCAAGCAAAGTACTCTAATGGGGGGAAAACCTCAACTCCTTTGCAACTTCTCTTCAAGAAACTCTAGAGAATCTGAGGTACTGAACCACAGCAGACTGCTTTATTTATTTATTTCATTTATACCCTGCCTTTCTCCTCAGTGGGGTGCCAGAGCAGCTTACATCATTCTTCTCTCCTCCATTTTATTCTTGCAAAAAACCTGTGAGGTAGGTTAGGCTGAGCGAACATGACTGGCCCAAGACCACCCAGTGAGTTTCCACGGCAGACTGAAGAGTCAAACCTGGGTCTTCCAGATAGTAGTCCAGCACTCTTAACCACTACACCACACTGATTCTCTCTGAAAGACCTCTGCTACTTTGAAACTTAAGGTAAAGTTAGTTAAATCTGAATAGCTATATGGCTCAGACTGGGAGATCTCAAGGTCAGAGTGTGTAAGTTTTTGTAAGACTGCTATTGAACTTCAGCTGTATCTTAACATTTTAGCTCTCGGCATATATAGGACATTGTCCTGCATCAATATGTACATTACTATCCCCCATCCTGCTTTTCTTTGGCCCCGTTCACACGAGGGGATTTGGCCCAGTAGCGGGACAGTTCGGGGGCGGATCAAACCAGCGCGATCACACCACAACATCTGGGAAGTGTGGTGCTTCCGCCCCCGAACTGGCCCATTCCCTCGATGATGCGGCTCAAGGAGGAACCACCTACCGAGGTGGTTCATCTCCCTGCCGCGCTGCAAACCGGGTGTATGATCGCTGGCGCAAGGATGCGCCAGCGCGTCCCTGGCTCCGAGCCGAACTGCGCATGCTCGGACATGCGCGGTTCGGCTGGCTCAGCGTCCGACCTGAGTTTTCTCCCCGGCGTCTGATCGTGCCAGGGAGAAAAGGCGGCGCGGCTGGGGGATCCATGGGATCCCGCCACGCCGTGTCAACGTTGGCGCAGCTTTTAAATGCCACGTATCGTGCCGCTTTTTCCCCTGCCATGTGGCAGGGGCCTTTGACTTCACTATGAGCCAAGTGATGATAATATGAGTCGGGGGCCCTGAAGACTAGGGGCAGGGAACAAAACTAAAGTTCGCTCTTTTGGATTTTCAGAATTGGCAGCGCTGCCTCCTTTTCCCCTTAGGAGCCTCTTTATCATCCCTCATCAATACGCTCAGCAAAGCAGAACGGTCCCTGTTTCTGCAGTCAACACGTTTTCTTCACCTCCTGCAGCAGCTGGATTTTCTTCTCCAGGCTCTCACAGGCCCGCTCGGCCTCTTGCTGGTGACAGATCTCTGCTTCATTCTGAACACTCAGGCTCTCTGCCGCTTCCCTGAAATTCACAGATTTGGCCAGTCAGAACAAAGGCCCTGTAACATGGCATCACGTGCAGATCTTACGAGACGACTTGTTCACATTGTACCCTCAGAGCTAAGTTGTGTTTTGCAGATGAAGCAAGACCTGAGCAAGGCTGTTGATGACAGGACATTTTGGAGGACATTAATTCATAGAAACACCATAAGTCAGAACCTGATCCGGCATATAATGCACAATCCTCAGTTCAGGCTTGGCTCTGCCAGGGGGGACTGTGAGACGTGTGCTTGTGAGTTCCCAGGTGAGAACTCAGTTCCCAGGTATGTAGGATCAAATTTGGATCAGGACTACGGCATGCAGGGAGAACAGGATTATTTATTTATTAAACTAGATTTCTAAGCCGCCCTCCCCTGGAAAACAGGGCTCAGGGCAGTGTACATCGATAAAAACAGTGAAAAAGTAATAAAATTATTTGTAAAAAATCAATAAAAACAGTAATATATTGATTTAACAATTAAAACAATGGAAGTATGATAAAAAATACAATAACCAGCCTGATAAGATGATGTTAAGCTGCCAATTGTGCCACTACCTCATGGGGAGGAGGCAGGAAACAGGAGCACCAGACAGAGGGGAAACGGTGCTGTCCTCAACCGAATACCTGGCAGAACATCCTTTCATGTTTTTATAATAAGGCAGCCATGTGTGCAGAGGGTTTGGCTTTGACAAGGGGAAACCGTGCAGGGAAGAAAGGGTTAATCCCCTCTGCCATTCCCGCACAGCCCCACTGCTAATTGTGGCTATGCATAACTGCAGTTACTGGGAAGCTCTGGTCACAGGCTTGCTGGACTCCCATGTCATTTTGCTGCTTTGGCAATTAGTGACTTTGTAGACAGTTGCACTGAGCCAGACCCAGGCTGTTGCTGCTGTGCCTGATTTCCAGCACATTCAAGGAGCAGGTCTGCAGGCCCAATGAGATGTAAGGCCGGGAGATATGGAAATGGATCTCCCTCCCCTGGGTGTAAGAACAGATGCCGCTCCAGTTCTAGCCAAGCAGGCCAGGTCCACAATAGAGGGGAAGGGGCCTAACTCTTGCCCGTGCACCATTTTCCTGACCTCAGCGTTCACCCCCCACCCACACCTATCATGCTGCTGTAGGTCTCACACATGAATTATATATAGGGTGCTTGTATATTACCACTTGAGCTGCGGTGGCTCAAGTGGTTAAGACGCTGAACTGCAGGCTGTGGAAGGTCAGTAGTTCAGCGGTTCAAGACCCGGGTACCGCAAGACAGGGTGAGCTCCTGTCTCTAGTTCCAGCTCCTGCCAACCTAGCAGTTCAAAAGCAAGAAATTGCAAGTAGATAAATAGGTACCACTTCAGTGGGAAGGTAACGGCGTTCCGTGCGCCTTGGTGTTTAGTCATGCCGGCCACATGACCACGGAAACGTCTTCGGACAGCGCTGGCTCTTCGGCTTTGAAACGGAGATGAGCACCGCAACCCTAGAGTCGGACTCGACTGGCTTTCGAGCAAGGGAAACCTTTACCTTTACCTTATATTACCCTCACAGGGCAAAGAGCAACTCTAAGATTGAGAAAATGGTATTGAATTATATATAGGGTGCTTGTATATTACCCTCACAGGGCAAAGAGCAGCTCTATGATTGAGAAAATGGTATCGGGGAGAGGGTTAAACTTGTGTCTCCTAGATCTTTGTATGGGGTGGGGGTGGGGAATTCATTCAAGATCTGCTTTGACTTTCTGCATCCACAGAGAGCTCTTTTCCACTTCTGATTAACAGTGCAAACCTAAACAGAGTCATACCCTTCTAAATCCATTGAAGGCAACGGGCTTAGAATGGTGTGGTTTAGGATAGCCTGGTAAGGCTCTTTGTAGGTAAGTGATCCTTGACAGATTATGAAACCTCAGCCTCACCCCATGAATGGTTTACAGAGGAGTGAATCCTGCTGGAGCCCGATGGGATTGTAACTTTCACCTGTTATAGGAACTAGTGAACAGATTGTGTTGATGGCTCCCTGCAGTTCCTGGGGAGACCAATGCCCTCCCAAAGGCTTCTGAGTAGGGGATGTTTGTTAGCCAGGCCTTGGAGACCCTCCTACGCTGTCACTTACCAAGCTTTATCCAAGTTCTGCTGCTTTTCTTGGAGCTCTTTCTTCAGGCTCTCTACTTCCACCTTCAGCTCAATGTTCTAAGGAGGAGACAAATGGGTAGGAAGAATCACAACCGATTCTGCTGTGGAACTCTCCTGCCTCTGAAATGCATACTTTAAAGCTAGGACTGGTAAGTGGCCATGTTATAATTTCAAAAACTGTGGGGCCAGGGGCACAACCATACAAGGCAGAAGGGGCGAGTGCCAACCCCTTAGCCTGCCTCAGAGCCCTAGGGGCAGCTGTCCAGGAACCACAATACGCACCCTATAATCTTGCATGCAGCAGCATAAGAAATGGTACATTGTGGCAGAACTCAACTTCCTGGAGTGTGCGGGGACTACACAGTTTAAGAACATGGAGTTCTTAAACACACAGTTTAAGAATGCACAGAACATGGAAATGATGCAATCTGACTTTAACTATTAAAAAAAAAAAAAACCAAGTCCCATCTTTATTTTTAAAAAATTCGGACAACAGTCCAAACTTTTAACACAAGCACATCTCTGGCAACTGACCCGGGGTCAAAAGACCCTTTAATTGGTTGGCTGGCAATCCTAACACTCATCTGTGGTGCCAAGGTCCTCCCCAAATTTTGTACGAAGAAACATCAGACTCAACATCCAGAATAAATTATGTTGACCAGCACCCACATGCCAGTTCCCCAGTTTCGCTCACTCTGAATCCAACAGTTGGGCTTTGTGGAACTGTGAATTCAGGTCACCCCCCTAATCAGTGTTCCTTCTAAGCTGAGTTAGTGTGAGCCGGCTTACAGTTTTTTAGCCTCCGGCTCACACATTTTTGTCTTTGCTCAGGAAGCAGGGCTCCAGAGCAAACTAATTTATGCAGTAGCCCAATTGCTTGCTCCTCACTTTAATGCTGGTAGCTAACAAAGCAGAATTTTTGCTCACACGACCCCACAGCTTACAAGGCGTAATGCCCCTAATACTTATTATTTATCAGAGTTTATAATTAGAGTGGTTAAGAACAAACCTATTGGTCTGCTTTTTACTTTATGATGTGTGACCAAATCAGGCACAAGCGAATACATGACAATCCAGCATGCTATCATCGCTGCTATGCATATGCGCTTATTTGTGTCTCCAAGCTGGACTAAGTAATCACCTCTACTGGCAGTACAGTTCCAAGATGGGTCGCAGACATTCTTTCAGATTTAGATATCTGTGCTTCGTATGAGGGAGCAGTCTAATTTGAGTCACCGGTCACTCAGAAAGCACAAGCTACAGCTGGCAAAAATGTATTTGTGCCTGACAAAGGTGACTACAACATGTACACTATGGCAGGTCAATTCCTTTATTTCCTTTATTCTATACTTCATGCTCACAGACCAATGGGTCATAAGCAAACAAGTTTGATCGTCCACATGGTACAGCAACCTTCCATGCCATAGGGGACATACAATTCATTAACACCCAGTTCCTAGAACAATTGTGGTATTTTCTGCTACTGTGGATGAAGGACATCTCAGGTTCACCAAATCAAAACCTACCTACCACCCATTCCAGCCAACCTGACCTAAATAACACTGAGGCAGAGTACATGAGTGTGTTGCAACTGGAACCTGAAAATACTAATGCAACATGTAAGCTTGATGTGTTATAGATGTCAGCAGGGCTTTTTTTGTAGAAAAAGCCCAGCTGGAACTCATTAGCATAATAGGCCACACCCAACAGCAGAAATGCATTAGCATATTAGGCCACACCTCTGACAGTGCAACTCATTGGCATATTAGGCCACACTCCCACATTATCAGAAGTGTGCTCATCTAGCCACACCCACCTTTTGCTTCTTATTCTGTTTACCTTGTTTGTTGTTAAAACCCAGGGCTTTTTTTGGAGCAGGAAGTCCTTTGCATGTTAGGCCACACACCCCTAATGTAGCCAATCCTAATTAGTTTCTGCTGTTGGGTGTGGCCTATTATGCTAATGAGTTCCTGCTGGGCGTGGCCAACTTGGGAGCCAGCCGGAACTCCGTTCCTGTGCGTTCCTGCCCAAATATAGCCCTGGATGTCAGGATCACAGTTGCGGGTAACACCTCATCCAGAATGAAGCAATTTTATGGAAGCATTGTTCTTGGATAACCTGTGGTCTTACGAGACATCTGTAGTCCTATCCATGTTTTGTAAACCCCAATCCAGGAAATCCTTCTACTATATACGCTCTATTTAAATAATATATATCTTGCTGTTCCTCCAGAAAAACAAGGCAACTTATTAAACATGTACAAAATCATATCAAGCTACAAGTTACAATAAAAAATGGACATAAACCATCAGCCTATGGACATCATACCACCAATCCATTGAGCCCAACTCTCTGAGAGACAGCCTTGCGGAAACTCATCGAAGTCGTCAAGAAAACACTCTCCTACAGAAGCTCATTTCAGAAAACTGGAAGGATGGCCATAAAAGCCTACAGGCAGACTAGAGATGAACGTAATAACCAATGGGACAGTACTTTAAGCGGAGACCAACGGGTGCATACACAAACCCCTACCAGGAAAGATGGTCCTTCAAGACATTTGGGTTCCAGGTCATAAAGAGCTTTAAAGGCAAGAACCAGCACTGTAAATTGCACCCAGAAACAAACAGCTAACCAATTATGTTGTTTTAGGATTGTGATCAGATCTGCGGGCTGCAGTCAAAAGATGGGTTGCCACTTTATTGCACTAACTGGAGTCTCTGTGATTTTTTAAGGGCAGCCCCATATAGAGTACACCGTGGTGGTCTATCTGTGAAGTCACATCAGTGAAGCCAGGTCAGGCAAGCCTAGAAGGGGTGATAACCTCTGCACAAGATGCAACAGGAAGAAAGCACTCCTGGCAAGGACATCAGTCAGCTTCTGGAAAAGCAGAGCTGGATCTAAGAGGATCCTTAGGCTTATACAATCAGTAAGTGTAACGCTTGCCCCATCCAAAGTTGGCAGGTGGATCCATTCTAGAACATCAGCCTTACCAACCAGCATCACACCGGGCCCTGTCTTGTCTAGATTCAGTTTTGTCTAGATTCAGTTTTGGTCTGTTCTCCTTTAAGCCACTTGACCCCAGCACCTGAGTGTTTAGGACTAACAGAACCACTTCTGGGGCTTAGCTAGTATCATCAACATATCAAACTTCTGTAAGTGCATCTCACAGACTACGGGATTACAGTGTGCAACACACATTACAAAGTGCCTAATGATGCTGACACAGTCAAAAGCTGCTATGCTTGCCAGAGCTAGTGGAAATGCAGTCATTGCAGTGCTCCAACCTCCAGCCCAACTCTTATATTTCCCCCCCCCTTTTCCCCCCTTCTTCAATAATAAAATTCTTCAGGTAACATAACCTTTAACTTTTGTTCTTATATATTTAAACTTATTCTAAATGTCCTTCTATCTTCAATAATTATCAAAGCAAAATAGATTATTTTTCACATCCCAAGTATCATCAACATATCAAACGTCTGTAAGTGCATCTCACAGACTCCGGGATTACAGTGTGCCACACACATTACAATGTGCCTAATGATGCTGACACAGTCAAAAGCTGCTATGCTTGCCAGAGCTAGTGGAAATGCAGTCATTGTGGGATGGAATACAGAGCTCAGTGTCCCAATGATTGCCCTTCCTGAAGATAATGTTAATCTCTAATGCACATTCTCAGTAAGAACAGATGAGAGAGTTTGTACAGCCCTAGAGTGCTTCAGTGAATTTATGGAGACCTGCTCCACCGCATCTTCTTTTTGCATGTAGTAACTGTTGGAGTCAGCAACTCAGCCCCTGGACACGGGGGAAGGGTGGGGTACGACACCACTGTAAGTGTGTACAAGTATTATCTCCTTGAATGGGATGTCTCTCTCTTTGTCTTAACCTGGGAGCTGCCCTCTGACCCCTCCACTCTCTCTGTGTTCTTTGTTCTCCCTCCTCCTTCACATGGCTCTGCGTGGAGTCACACATTTCCACAGGTCTCGCCTGTAGAAACAATGCCCTCATGCTTCCATACACAGGATGCTGGATTTAGCTGGCCACTTGTCATAGGGAAGGTACTCTTTAGATTAGGCTTCTCTCTCGCCTTTCAACTGTAACCTGAATGTGAACTTAAGTTTTACTTAGTTAGGGTTATCAGGCAGGATCATCGTGCTGGTGGGGGGTGTTGGGGGGTGGTTTGGGAGTGGGTGGGGATGTTCCTGATGCGATGACATCATGCAGAAGTGGTGTCATTGCGGTGGCGACATTGGCGCAATGTTCTACTTTTGGGGCAAACTTTATGGTTAAAACTGGGCTCAAACCATAGAGTTTTGTCCAAAAAGCAGAGCATCACCGTTTGACGTCATCAATGCAATGCAATGCAATGCAATGTTGGGTATGTCGCCGTGCGATGTCACTGTTTTGGGGGGTGGGGTTTTCCCGCTGCCAGCTGGCTGGCGGCAGACAGAAGCCCCGAAAATCAGGGGAATCCCCGCCCAGACTGGGGGTCTAGGAGCCCTAGTTTTACTTCTTGGAAGATTTATTTACTGCACTCAATATCACACTTCCAGGACTGGGCAAACTCTGCTATATTAACCAAATATCCAAGTAGTAATTGGGTGTGATGTTACATTGGTGACTCTGCACCCTACAAGCACAGCATAAAACCGAAACATTTTCAGTGGTTCAAATTAGGTGGTTGCAACAGGAGAGGCTCCCCCTCCCATGACCTACTGGGGTAGGATGACTGAAAATTTACATCCAAAGAGGCACGACCTGTACACAGGGAGAGTGGACTTCCTTGGCGGTTTCCCATTCAAGTACTAACCCCAGCTGCCTCTGTTTAGCTTTCGAGATCTAATGAGATTAGGAGAGTCTGGGCCGTCCAGGTCAGGTACAAAACAAATGAATAGTAAGACATAAATGAACCAAGTGGTCAAATATAAACCATGATAGGCTCGTGACTCAGTGGCACTGGGGGTGTCGCAAACAGGACTTAAGAGTTTCCTGGTCATGCTATTCTCGATTTGCTAAATTTACTCACACCTGTTTATATTCTGTCTCTTTGCTCACTCTCA